CCCAAAAAAAAAAAAAAAAAAAAAAAAAAAAAAAAAACCCAATAAACAAAAACCCCACTGAACATAGGAACAGGAAGAACTGGTAACAAACTCTATGCAGGGCCTCATTTTACCCTTGGCACAATGAGATTGAGTTCTGGAGTTAACTGCCTGGGTTTAAATCCTGGCTCTTCCTAATTAACTGGTGTTAGATACATTATATGACATCACCATCTGGAAAATAGAGTTGTTGAGAGAGGATCAAATGAGTAAATGTATGTAAGGAATTTAGCACAGTGCTTGGCCCATAGAAAGTGCTTAATGGGGGCTGGGGTTATGGCTCAATTTGAAGAGTGCTTCCTTGCATGCGCTAGGCCCTGGGTTCAATCCCCAGCACTACATTAAAAAAAATAAGGCAGGGGCGGGGCTGTGGCTCAGGGGTAAAGCACTTGCCTCTCATGTGTGAGGCACTGGGTTTGATCCTCAGCACCACATAAAAATAAATATAAATATACTGTGTGTTCATCTACAACTAAAAAAATGTTTAAAAAAGTACTACTGGGTGGAAGTCATTCACATTAGTATTTCATTAATTTTATGTGTGTGTGTGGGGGKTGGGTATTGGGGTATTCTACTAGGAATGCTCTATCACTGAGCTATAACCCCATCCCTTTTAATTTTTTTTTCACTTTGAGCCAGGTCTCCCTAAGTTGCCCAGGCTGGTCTTGAACTTCGGATCCTCCTGCCTCAACCTCCCCAATTCCTGGGATTATAGGCATGAGTCACCATGCCCAACCATATTAGTATTTGACTTCAACTCTCTGTCAGTGTCCATAAATTCAGGAACTACATTTTTCTTGTTGTACAACAAGAACTTGTTCTAGAATATAGCCCAGTATTTTGCACACAGTAGGAGTTCTGTAGGTATCTGGTAAATGAATAGACTGTAATCTTATCACTTAAGTCTTAAATTTTTATCTCCCTCTCCTATGAGTCCCAGACTGATATATCCAACTCTATCTGCATATCTCACAAACATCATAAATTTTAACAAATACAAAACAAAATTCTTGATTCTTGTCCCAAAACCTTTCCTTCTGTTTCTTCCATCTGGGTAAATGACACCACCATTTCCGACTTATTAAAATCAGACATGTTGGGGCTGAGAGTAAAATTCAGTGGTGGAGTGCTTGTATAGTATGTGCAAGACCCTGAGTTCAATCCTTACCACTGCAAAATAAAGTTGCATACCATTCAATGACTAATGAGGCCTAACTATAGGCCCACACCTAAATTCATTAAAAAAAAAAAAAAAGCCAGGTGTGGTGGCATATCCCAGTCTCAGGAGGACTGAAAGTTCCAGGTCAGCCTAGGCAATTTAAAATAAAAAAAAAAATAAAAGGGCTGGGGGGTGTTGCTCAGCAGCAGTAGAGTGCCCCTGGGTTCAATCTGCAGTACCCTGTACTGGAGAAGAAAAAAAAAAAAACACCCAACACAGAGCCTGGGGATACAGCTGAGTGGTGGAAGAGTGTTTGCCACATGAAAAAGCAAGAAGCCCTAGGACCAATCCCCAGCAAT